CCACAGCGCAGCGATGAGGACAGCCGGTCCGCGGCGTTTTGTGCGGTCGCTGAAAAACACCTATCATCAGTTTCCGGACTCGGGGGGAAAAAAAACCTCTGATTCTGCTTCTGCTGCACTTACGCGAGAAATCCCAGCAGCACAACGATCGCAGCGGCCAAAAAGTTGCCAACGGAGAACAGCGCGTTGGCATGCACGGCGCTGAAGCCCAGGCTCTTGATGATGGACGGCGCATACGTCTGCACCGCGTTGACCGAAATGGTCGCCGTCAGCGTGATGAGCACATGCACCAGAATGCGCGCGTTGCGCACCGTCCGCCACACATCCCGCCCCGAAATGGCCACCTGCGAGGCCGTCTTGGCCGGGTCGTCCAGCAGCACGCGGCGCACGAGGATGTACTGCTCGCGAGACGTGAAGTAGCTCCATTCGCCGAGGCCGATCAGCGGTTTGCCGTTGCCGACGCTGGGCGGGAGGAAGAGGATGAAGATGATCCCGATGCCGATCGTCATGACTCCTTCGACTGTTGCAGTTAGCAGAGTCGCTCTTGAGAAGTTGAGGTCTACTGACTGATGAAAAGCCATCTCCATCCAGCGACGCCATCACGCCCAGCCATGGTCAGGATCCCAGCGCCAATCAATGACACTGTGGCCGACGCCAGGATGTTGCCCAGGAAGAAGATGGAGATGCGCAGACTCGTTTCGGACTTTTTGTACCAGGTGGACATGGTATACAGGGCGCCTGTCATATCAGCCGGAAGAAGCTTCAAGCAAAGCAATATGAATGCGTACCAGGAATGAAGCCGGCCTCGCACAGCCCAAGAAGAATCCGCGTCACGAGATACGCAGCATAGTTCGTTGCGAAAGCCTGGAACGTCGCGACGAGACCCCAGCTGATGATCTGGAAGGATAACCACCGTTGCGGGCCGATCTGTCACGATCTGATATCAGTCTCGCAGCAAATAAAAAACAAAGCCCTAAGAGCGTGATGATACCTTCTGCAGGAGGATGTTAGACGGAATCTCCAGCACCACAATCCCCGCCGACAACAAGCTGTTGCCAACATTGATCTGGTTCGTCGTCACATGCAGGTCCTTGGTGATGGTATCCGTCAGAGCATTGGCGATGTTGCCGCGGTCGCACTGCAGCGCGAAAAAGGCGAGGCCCAGGATGGGGAGCAGGATGAAGTCGACTCTGCGTCGTCAGCATGTGTCTCGTATGATTGTCTCGTATGGCATTGATATCAGACATACTTCCGCTTCGCTTGCCGCTCTTCGCTCTCTGTCCAGTCTGGCTGCGTCGACTCGGCGATGTTCACGGCGACCAGATCCTCCCCGCCGGCTTCCTTGCTCGCGTACGTTTCCTGCGCGCCCATGGTAAGCCGTCATTTGCAGACAGAAGGAATCAATCCAGAAAACAGCTACAAAATACAGACGAGACAAGCGGTACATGCTTGGAAAATAAAGCAGCGTCGAGCTCGAGTCTTTCTGGAACTGGCTGCATCAGCGGCCACGCGGCCACGCGGCCATGTGGACCAGCTCGACGACTATCGTCGCGACGGTGAGCGAATCGACCTGTTGATCATGATCGTTGACAGCGGATAACAGCAGTTAGCAAGCACCAGCTCGTTGCGTTTGTCGCTGCTGGAATGGCGCGATGGCCGGCCAATGAGGAGGCCGGGTTGCGGATCTCGATCGGCGAGCGCGTCCACCGCATTCGTATGCCTGCGAGATGGCTTTTTTTTTTTATCTTTAGATTATCTTATCCTGATTATCGTTGATTATCGCTAGATTGATTAAACTCAATTGTCTAGTGGTATATGGTCTGGAGGTGCAGAGTACTCCGTACAGTACAGGTATCTCCCACGAAACTGTGGAACTGGAGTGGAGCTGTACCTGAGATCTATTGCGATTCTCCCTAAACTATTAGAATTAGTAGTATCTTTATCTCCCAGACTATCAGTAAATGGCGTATGCAAAGCGTGTGATTGGTCAGAACTGCTTATTCAGCGAGTGTCTGTTTTGATTATGTAAGTGTTTACGCGCGGCCCCTTAATGCGTCTTGCATAATGCTGCGCGTTCTCCCCTATTGTAATAGACATATACTTTTCCTGTCATAATTTGTACAGTACAAAAGAATACCTTAGTTATAGGCTTCAGAGAGATTCCCTAAGGGATTTACACAGGCTTACATTACAGGCATGCAGAGGGCTAAAGCGAAGGTCCGGAGCATTTAGGTAACAGCCCGCCAAGGCAGGCTAATCCCCGCATTGCTACTACCTTCCTCGGTAATTTTCCATGCTTCCCCAGACGGAGAAAAATCCATCTGGGGATTGCTTTGTTGGGTACCTCCACTGACGATATCGGAGATCCCGCTTTGCCTTCTTGACAACGCAATGCGGGATGCAGATAAAAGCAAGAAAAATCCGGGGGAGAATCCACCGGAGATGCACGACGATACGGAGAATTCGTCTGCTCGACGAAAAGTATATAACCGGCTGGTTGTCCCGAGGGACAGTGAAGTGATGGTAGTGTTCCTCTAGAGGAGCAAGGCTTGATTTGACCTGTAGTCACCATGAAAAGTCTGGTCTATGCCCTGTGCTTCGCCAGCGCTGTTGCTGCTAGCAACAGCACAGGCACGGCGACAGTCGACCTCAATGTCAAGCGTGGCCCGCCCTCTCACCTCGCTTCAGGCTTCATCTACGGCATCCCCGATACCCCCAACCAGGTCCCCGCCCACTGGTACACCGACATGGGCTTCCGATACGGCCGCGCAGGCGGTGCGCAGCTAGGGGCCCCCGCGCGAGGCTGGATCTGGGGCATCGACGAGTACCAGGGCCGTCTCAACTCGACCCTGTCGAATTACCGCACCTGTCGTCAGTACGGCGCCGACTTTATCATCTTGCCGCACGACATCTGGGGCACCGACCACGCCAACGACTCAACAATCTGGCCCGGCGACAACGGCGACTGGACCGACTACGACAACTTCATCCGCCGACTGATGGCCGACCTGAAGGCGAACAACGCCCTGGACGGCCTCGTCTGGGATGTTTGGAACGAGCCCGACATCTCCATCTTCTGGACGCGCAGCCAGCAGCAGTGGATCGATCTGTACATCCGCACGCACAAGCTTCTCCGGCAGGACCCCGACTTTGACCGTGTTCAGATCTCAGGTCCCACCCTGGCCTTCCGTCCCTTCCCCAACAATACCTGGTGGACGAACTGGCTGGACCAGATTGCAGGTAACCAGACTATCCCGGACCAGTACGCCTATCATCTGGAGGGCGATCCATCCTCGCCGGATGATGACCTCCAGAACACCAACGCGTCCCTGGCGGCGATGCTGCAGACGTACCGGCTTCCGTCGCGGCAGATCAACATCAACGAGTACGCGACATTCGCAGAGCAGATTCCCGCAGGCGCGGCATGGTGGATCTCCCGGCTCGAGCGCTATGAGGCGTACGGGCTGCGCGGGAACTGGCAGAGCGGAACCATGCTGCATGATCTTTTTGCTAATCTCCTGACCAAGAAGTCGGACCCTTCCAACTACACGGCGACAGACTACGTATCGGCGCCGGAGTACCCGGTGTACAGGTACTACTACCGGAACATGACAGGCCAGCGGGTGCAGACGACGGGCTCCGAGGATCGCCTGCTGGACGTGTATGCCACTGTCGACAAGGACAAGGTGCGTATCTTGGCGGGTGTGCGCCTGGCCACTGGCACCTGGCAAGTCACGGTCAATTCACTCAGCGCCGTGGGCCTACCCAGTGCGGGGACGTTGAACATCCAGACCTGGGGTTTTGATGGAGACTCGGTGTGGGAGGAGGTCGACCGTCCAGAGGATCTTGGTGTTACCGCGCATACCTACAGCGGGGATTCGGTGACGTTTCCAATCTACCAGACGGACAATCATACGGCGTGGGCATTTGAATTCGACGTTGCTTGACTGCTAATCGGACAGGCTGTCATGTGACGTATATATACGTAGTGTATATATATATATATATATAACAAAGGAAATCGATCTGGAGATTCAGAGTAGACATACCGAACAGTGCTAGCTGTCAACATCACCTAGCTGATGAACATGCACGTCCGTTTCTGTAGGTAGCAAGTCTGGTGCTAGAAATCCAGATACAGCCAGATGCGATTAATTTCCTTCATGAGCTGGCGTCATCGTCATCGTCAATGTCCTTGAACTCAACCCAGGTCTTCATCTTCGCCCGGACGTGCTCGCCGTAGACGATGGCCTCCCCATTGTCGTCTACAGGTCGCACCACGCAATTCTCGCCTGGCTCAAAGAAGAACGGGACGCTGAACCGGCCGAAACGGGCGGATGCAATTCCATTCCTGTCGACGGAGATCGGTCGCTTCTGCGGCGCCCGCACGCGGTGCATCGTCGCGACAAACCGTCCTCCCGAGACCTTGGCCATCAGGTCGCCAATGTTGACCACCAGCGATTCGGGAATGTACGGCGCGGGGACCCATTTACCAGATGAGTCCTGCACTTCCAGGCCACCTGTCGCATCCTGATGGAGCAGGGTTAGGATGCCACTGTCGGTATGGGGAGTGCAGCTCAGCTTCACGGGTTCGTCGGGCTCCGGGGGTGGGGTGGCCGGAACCGACCCGTACTGGTCTGCGTTCGCGTCTAACTCGGCCTTAGTCTCAGCAGCTGCAGGTGGATAGTGAAGCAGACGCAGGGTGCTGAGGGAATCTTCAAGATAGTGTGCAAAGAAGTCGGGAGGTTTCCCCAAAGACATGGCCAGCAAGGAGAGAAGCTTGGAGGCCAGCGCTTGCAATTCCGCGTAAAGCTGCTCCAGACGAGGTCTCGACGGGAAGATCTTCTCGTCGGGCCAGACGTTGGGTTCAGCCAGGTTGAACTTGGATGATTGCGTCACGTTGGACGTCGTTTTGATGGGCTGAGCTGGTCCGATTTCGAAGCCTTCCTTGAGGTTATCTGAAGACTCCTCAGGCTGGGTGGGAAAGTACCTACCAGAACAACGTTAAGCGGGTATATTCTCTCGGACTCGTCTGCTGCTTACCCCCGGTAGGTATTCTTATTCTCCTTTCGAAAGGTCCTCTTGGCCAGCTTCATTTTTTCCTCCTCGGGCAGACCAAAGAACTCCAGCGCCATGCCAAAGACATCGGCATGGCTGAAGCTCAGGGGCGCGTTGACCAGATAGGCGAAACCAGTCGTGGCGAAGACATCGTAGAGCTGCCGGCTCAGATTGGACAGGTCCGTCTTGGTTGGCCCTGACGGGGTTCTGAGGGGCGCCAGATCAACGATGGGAAGGGACGAAAAGGTCGTGGACATGATGCAATGAAGACCAGGAGGTTGTGATCTGTGTCAAGTGGAGATGATGGGAAGAAAAGTCCCAGGGTTTGACACCACCCAGACACCCATATTAAGGTGGCTCTTGCCATCATGAATTGCAGTTCCTTCTGCCGTCCACATGAGCCTTTTCGGGCTGCGCAGGGTACAACTGCCTCTTGAGGAAGGAGGTCCCGTGTATGACTGGGCGATCTTCTCCACGATCCCCAAGGCTGTCATCGGGCTTCATAACGGGCTCCACTTGGCATCGCCCAGGAAGAGATTTCCGGTAGCCACGTTGGGGCTCTGGGGATCGTCGCGGGGTGCAGGTCGTTCAGCATGAGGGGGCTTAGTCATCTGGTCGAGTGACACGGCATCAGGACAGGGTGCATACAATGAACTTTATCCGAGGATAAGTCAGCTCAGATTGGTTTCAAGTCCAAAGGAGCAGATCCAGTTGGATGCTGTCCATGGATGAGGAGGTTACGGAGATCAGGCATGTCGAAGTGCAATGTCCCTGGAATTGGACTGGCTAGTCACATGCAGCGTCCAGGACTCACGTGTCTACAGAGAAAGAGCCGTGCCCTGCTGACTGCCTATCTAGGGAGATGCCTGGAGGAGCCCAGGAGTAAAGCAGAGGAGGCTTACGATCGGGATGGCAGCAGATCGCACGTGCACAGTGGCTGTCCGGAGATAGCAGAGCGGCGGGCGGTTATCTCCGCTCGGCAGCTTCTGGCAAGGCAAGCAGGTCAGCCGCAGCTGAGAGGGACGCGTCCGACAACCTCGTCTCAGTTCTCTCATCGTCCGCAATCATCCCTCCCGAAGATGAACGATCGAGGGAGGCAGTACGTCTCTCAATGCTCGACCCATGTTGATCGCTACTGACCAGGTGTGGTTTGACGCAGACCCACGTCCAATCGCACCAAGAAAGCCTGCACCGAGTGCCGCCAGCAAAAGGTGGGTTTGGTGCCGGAATTGACTGATCAGAATGCTGATTCCGTGACGACAGGCCAAGTGCGATGCCTATCTGCATCCCGATCAGCCGTGTTCCCGATGCCGCAAGGTCCACGCGAAATGCGTCATCTCCGACCCCTTCAAGAGAGAGCATAAGCGGAAGTGCGTCGTCCCGTGACCGACCCTGCTGATGCGACGTGGAGGATGGCTGACAGATCTCTTCAGGCGGCTCTCCGAACTCGAACGGGAAACCGAGGAGCTGCGACGGAAACTCAGGGCCTCCGAGAGCAGCAGTGGTGTCGCATCCCCCATCGCCGTGCTGACGGCTGCAGCGGAGATGGGCGTCGCTCCGGGAAATCTGGCAGCAACACCATCGGCCTCCTCGCCTCCACGCCCATCTGGATATTTGAATCCGACAGGTCCGCCCGTGTCGGTGAATCTCCGCCCGTCTGGGGTCCTACAGAATGGCGACGGTCCAGGGACGCATGCCGGGGACAGGACGCTGGCACGAACGTTGAACGGGGTCCGCGTCGAGGGAGAGGAAATTGACGACATCTTTCAGCTGTGCGTGTCTCCGCGATAAATGGATTGGTAAAGTGGTCTGCAACTAACGGTATCATCATAATAGGTTTTTCCGTGACTATGCTCCGTTCATGCCCATTCTGGACCCCCACCTCAGCCCCAATGCCTACTACGCGCAGTCGAGCTTGCTGTTCTGGGTCATCATCGGCGTCGCGAGTCGAAGCTACTCCAAAAACCCCACGCTCCCAAGTGCCCTCGCACGACATATCCTGGACGCAGTCCTCCTTTCCACCGCATCCAATTCGGCGGCATTGTACAAGATCCAGGCACTCCTCCTGTTGCTGACTTGGCCGTTTCCCAAGATGGACGTCCTGTTTCCTCTGAGCGGTTTGCTCTTGCACCTCGCCATGCTCAACGGCCTACACATCCCCATGTCGACCCATGAATTCGCCAAGATGAAAACGAACAATCTCACCGAGATCGACATCCATAGGCGCTCCGAACTATGGGCGCACTGCATCATTGTGTATCAGCAGTAAGTATGCCACGATACGGTGGAACGTTCGTGTCTAATGCACCGCAGGGCCTGTCTGTGTAAAGGACAGCCCGGCCGGGCCCTTCTCGATTTAGTCCCAGAGTCTCGCCAAACCCTATTTGAGCGGTTACGTCCGAGTGTGAGCCTTCGGCTGAAGTGCCTCGACATCTCCACCCGGTGTTCTTGTGCCGTACTCGAGAATGGCGTTCGAAATATGTCTGCGGAGCAGGAGCGCGCGCTGAACATCATCCTCCGAACGTTCGAGCATCAATTGGATGACCTGGAAGCGCAGCTACCACCAGGTAAGTCTGTTTCTCGGGCGATTGGAATGGCAGTGGGCTAACCAGCCCCTGGATTCGGACACGTTCTACACGACCGTCTGCCGGCTACACATCCGAGTTCTACATTTCTACAAGGGCCTGAGTTTAACGAACGACGGTTGTTTTTCGCGGTTGCTCGCAACGGCATGTACTATGATCGAGTATGTGGAAATCTTGGGCGAGAAACCAGGATTCTACGCTGCAACTCCTCTGTTTATCGCCGTAGCCCTCGCGCTGGCCTGTTGTAGTTTGCTCCGGCTACTCAAGAGTGCGATATCCCGGGATCTGGACACCGAAAGGGCCCGGTCGTGTCTCTTCAAGGGGATCAATATGCTCAAGACCATCTCCGTCGACCGCGACGACGTGACGGACATGTGTGCCACGCTCTTGAAGCAGTTGTGGAATAGTTCCAAAGCGTTTCGAAAGCCGGACGGCACCGAGCATACCACCCTGCGGATTCGCAGTCGCCTGACGATGAGTCCGCTTCTCGATGCGTTGTGGTGGTGGCGGGAAGAGCATGATCCTTCGCACAAACCGGTGATGCCTGAGGGTGAGACAGTAAATGGTACTGCTCTTCAACACCTGCACGTTTTCTGTCCGGAGAAATGCTCGCTGACACATGAACCTGGGCTTCAGCAGATTCACATCGGGATTCCAATGGGATCATTCCCACACAGGATCCGTCGGCAGTGGCTTCGGAGCGACCCGAAGTTCTCCCGTTCCTCAATGACGACTTCCTGGCCGACTTCGAGTGGGCGTTGGGGAATGATTACCTGTTTCCCCCAACCGAGCCGTATGGGACCATGCCATGGTCCTCCACGACGAACGGGGTGTAGGCGATGCGGTTAACTTCGCCGGCGGATTGGAAGCAGATTATTTGCATCCCCGTGGCTGAGCGGCCAATTGCAAACACCGTGGTCCAGTCAACATGATCTCTGAGAGGCTAGACTCCAGACGGCCTCTGGTACTAGCTCACAAGTTGTCCTGAACTGCCGGAATTGTGAGGTTTCTCAGCCTCAGCGGCGGAGTTATCTCCAAAACCGGTTGACCCGATCATGCCCGTGCGACGTGGCTGGCGTTGGGGGCTTCCCCGCATTCTGCATCATTGATCGCGTCTCCGCCTTGCCGCATCTAACCGTTGTCTACTGCAAGGGATTGTTCTGCTTGTTGGGCAGTTTCTCCATGCTGGCTCGCTAGCTCCATAACTCTTCAGAGGGAGAGCATCGTCATTGGATACACAGACGATGTTTTGGGCGACACTAGATGCAGCGTTTACTTTCGCGTTGGATTTCTTGCGAGTTTCCAACAGCTGTTCGGGTGCCAAGGAGCCTCCGACGCGAGTGCTCTCGTTCTGGAATCCCGCTGTTTCGGTAACCCTTCAGCGGTCCTTGATCGAAACCTGTGGCAGTCGACTTTTGAACACCTCCTTGAATCCAAGCTCGTCTCCGCTCCGCTTCACTGTAGAACAAAATGTGGCTGCTATGCCGTAGACGGATATTGCACTACCAGCCAAGGCAATATACCTACTCCGTACAAAGGCTCCAGTTTTGACAGCAGGGGTCCACGTGTCTCTCTGAATGCCTGCTGTTTTGCTTGGGAGTTTCTCTCTGGTGCTCGTGGCCCGTGCCATGGCGTTCTCCCCAGTTTCAACGACACGGCTCTGCAGCAGACACGATTATTGAAGGATGAGACAATCGCAAGCCAGGGGCATTCCTGGTGCCATTCCCTGCCAGTGATCGCTGATAAGCTGCGTTGACAGCTCGACGGTCTAACCCGATCAGGCAGGAGCGTATGGCGCCACGGGATAATCTGCTTTGGAGGCTTTTCTGGCCGAAGGAAATCCGGCATGCTCCGTCTGACAGCCAGGAAGAAGCAGTCTGCGCCTGTCGACCGGTCTGTGGCGGACCAGGTCGGAGGGCCGGGCTGCTCATGGCCTCTGGGGTTGCATCCTTGGCAATTTTATTTCAGTCAAAAGACGGACGCCGCCGCACCTTGACCAGGCGGAAGTGGAACTGGAACAGAGGCGGAGAATTCGAGCTTAGCGATGATAGCGCGAGGATTTTATCCAGAATCGATGCGACGGTTGAATGTTATTTGGCCACTCGTTAGCGGCGACCGGGTAAAAGTATCGGCTGGCTGCTCCGTCCTCCACAGATATCGGCCCCCCGAGTCTGACCCATGGATCCACCTCCGCTCCCAATGATACTCTGTAGCTTTCCAGCGCGCAAGATGGGGAATAATCGCTGTGCGGCCTGAGGGATGCCCTCATGCGCTGTGTTTTGTTTCCCCGCATCCGCTCGCCTGGCAGTTGCGAGAGGCCGAACGGCATCATGTGATCCCGTGTTGCTTCTCCGTGTTGGATTCAAGATTGTTCCAGACGGAGCTCTGCGGTCTAGATGCCGGCTTATCTGTGCAAAGATCAGTTTCCCCCGTTCTATGACGACGTTCGACCGATTCTGTTCTTCACTCTGCCCCGTCCCTGCAAGGAGGCCGGTGGGGACGCAATTCTTCGCCAGCCAGTCGTGCTGGCCCAGCTTATCACCGCCCAAGAACGGATCCTTTCTGTCGCCGACTGTCCGCGCCCTCGAGGACTGCCTTCTGGCGCGTACTCGATCCTGCGATCTTTCATGCAGATCTCTTCAGGCCTGTATCACCTCGGGCACGACACGGCGTGTTTGTTTCCAGACTGGACAGCCGACACCATCAAATCCACCACCAATCACTCCGAGTTCCCCGAGTCCACCCCCCCCCCCCCCCCCGGTCGGCGCCGCTAGTGATCAACGCAGTGGGAGACTAACGACGCGTCTCTTCACGGAGAGCTCCGTTACCCGCCACTGGCGACGGAGAATCTGATCCCTACGCCACATGCGAGTGGCCGTCGAAGGGATGTATTTGAGGGATGATTCGTCTCTGCGCGCCACTGTCATGGTATTCCGTACAGTACATGCTTTGTATTACTCCGTTCGGAATACTCCGCCTATGTAAGCGTACCTCCGCTTTCCCAGGGAGAGCAGTCCCCAGCCAGGCAAATGCGTTGAAGGTCGATTATCGTTGACGGGGTGAGAGCGGACCATCCAGCACACCTGTCCTTTCGTTCCCCCCCCCCCACC